CTGCCCAGTGGCCGGGAAGGTGCAGGGTGCCTGGGGGCCACAGGGCCAGTCCGCAGAGGGGGTCCTGCACGCCGGCCACGGGAGGCCGAGTGCTGCCTTCCGGAAGCTTCCCGGGTGACCACACCCCGGCAGGCAGAGGAGGCAGCCAGGAGCGTGGGCAGCCTGCACAGGTTCGCGGCCCAGCCTCCTTGATCCATTGGGTCAGGCCTCCGACACCCGCGCTGTTACTCACTCACTGTTTTTAACGCAACTTGGTCTTTTTTTAAAAAATATGTTTTTATTGATTTCAGAGAGGAACGGAGAGGGAGAGAGAGAGAGAAACATCAATGATGAGAGAGGAACATCACTGATTGGCTGCCTCCTGCGCGCCCCCCACTGGGGATCGAACCCTCAACCCGGGCATGTGCCCTGACTGGGAATCAAACCGTGACCTCCTGGTTCATAGGTCAACACTCAACCACTGAGCCACACTGGCCAGGCTTTGACTTCAGTTAATTTTAAAATAAAGTAAGTGGACAATCAGTAGCACTTGCCCAAACCTAAAGGGGATCATGGAAACAGGTGCCACGCACGTGACACGTGCAACGCTGTGTCCTGGCAGCTGCCCCAAGGGCTCTGGGCCCGGGGCCTGCGGCTGCACCTGGGAGGTGCCCAAGGCCTAGGGCAGTGATGGCAAACCGATGACACGCTGTCAGAGGTGACATGCGAACTCATTTTTTTGGTTGATTTTTCTTTGTTAAATGGCATGTAAATATATAAAATAAATATCAAAAATATAAGTCTTTGTTTTACTATGGTTGCAAATATCAAAAATTTCTCTATGTGACGCGGCACCAGAGTTAAGTTAGGGTTTTTCAAAATGCTGACACGCCGAGCTCAAAAGGTTCGCCATCACTGCCGCTCGGCCCCCTCCACTCCGATCAGAGGTGGGGCTGGCTGGCCAACCGCCCACGGCCTCTCCCCCTGGCTGGCCCCACCCCGATCAGCCCCCCCACACACACTCTGATTGGGGTTGGGGCCAGCGGCCAACCTCCCACACCGAAGCCGGCTCAGGCCCCTCGTTCCTGCCCCGGCGTCGGCCAACCCATGGGACTTTTAGGGGTCACCTGTGACGCCAGACGCCTGGGCTGGCAGTTCTTTGTGTGGGACGGACCAGGTTCTCTCTCTTTTCTGTTTGAAAAAGCCAATCAAGAGGCTAGGCCAAGCAGGCCCGGCCCTTTGGGCTCTTGGCGGCGTCAGGCTGGGCACCTTTTGGGGACCTGGGGGC